TCCAGCTATTTAGAAAGTACTGCCTTTTTATAAAGCACTCACGTTTTGCAGGAAGTCAAATGGAATAAAAGTATGTTGATGCCATGAACAGTGGAAAATTTCAGTGCTGATGGATAGGAGCTGTGGCAATTTTGAGCAATCTATGGTTTCCATCCAAAACATGACAAAGTCATTAAATACTAAAGGCTGGCTCCAAAATAAATTTGTGCATAGCAGGGCAGCTTTCAGACTTCTTAATACCTTCTGAGTACGTGGAAGCCAACAGTCACACACACAACAGAACTACATGTAAACAGCAGGCTGCTGGCACAATGCACGAGTGTCACAAAAACAAGCAACCCTCTTCTGGCAGTGATACATGTATTAACGAACACGTTGTGTTGCCCAAAGACACTGGATCAGATTTTAAAATAATGAGGAACATTCTTTGTCATTTATGGCTTCATGGATGTACAGATTAGTGCTGTACACAGTGAAAGGCATGTGGACAGAAATAATTTAAAACACATGCACATCACATGCTCAGTAGTGCAGTAACGTAACAACAGAAAATTACCATTTAAAAAGGTTAAGGTTTAGGTCCAACCAAGGAAAAGGAAATTCATTTTTTCCTTGTTAGGACCTTAAGCATTCTAGCTTTTTATTTATCCTTTTTTATTATTGGCAACTTCTTCTGAGACAACATGTAGGTCCAATGCTTAAGTAGTTGTTTAAGGTAAAGAAGGGCTTGTACTGGTGCAAAGAATACTGTTATCTTTGAAAAGCGAACCCATAAAGAAGTACCACTGTTATTTTGGTCATTTAATATAAATATGATAAAATACCATGGTAATATATGCACCTTCAAAAACAATTAAAAGAGATGAACTGATTTTGAAATTAACTAATCACATAACAATTTGGTTCATGTTCTAGCCATAAAAGCATTGAAGACTTTCAAAAAGGACTGTCATAAAAACAAGCCATGGAAAGAGCACATCAACCCTTCATCTGATACCTGCTTTCCATTTATACTACATACAGGCAATAGAGCTGTACTATAGCATAACTGGCAAGGAGAATTACGTGAAGAGTTTCTGTTACTTCTTCACCTTTAAGCATACTGTATATACATTTTTCTTCTGAAGCAAAAAAAAAAAACATATCAGTATTGATAAAATTCATTTCAAACCCTGGATTGTGACCACAGTCAATACTGGTCTAGATTTCAGTATTACCAGTATATACCATGCAGTTCTTGTGTTCTAGCCATTTAACACATACAAATAAACTATAAAACTACTGTAAGCTCATTGAAAAACAAATCTCCAACACTTAGAGTAGTTACTACAGATGTTACTTCCTTATACTCATTTCCATCTTGTGACCAATTTCCATCTAATTCAGAGTGAAAAGCTGAAGCCAAAACGTTGTCCCCTTCTTCAGGTAGTGTTGCATGTTAAAAGAGAACCATCTTTTACACTTTAAATGAAGAATCAAAAAGCATCTCAGTACTTATGTTTGTTTAAATATCATAAACAGTCCCTATTTGTTTTCTTGTTACATATGAATTGTATCACCACCACATCCCCACTCAAATGTACGAATTGAGCCATTCATTAAAAGGATAAAATCAACGAATCAATTCAAGCCTAAAATTTTTTAAAGATATCCTTGCAATCAGCAAGTTCTATCCAGCACATTGTGTTTTTTTAAATCAGTTTTAAAAATAAAATTACCAGCTTTGAAGTCACACCCTAAGAGTGGCTACTTCAACAATGAATTGTTCATTCTTCTTGTGTTGGAAGGCCAACCTCACAGATGCTTATGTCAGATCTCAAGACTAGGACCTGCCCCTTGTTAAAAGAACACATTTATTAAGAGTATCCACCAACATTCACATCTTTTAAAATAAAAACTTCTGCGGTAGTTATATTTTCCCATACCAGGGCTGTAAATAACAAGCATGAAAATCTGTTTCACAGATGTTTAGACATGTACCATATTTTAGAGCAATTCTTTAAGACATCACAGTTTCATTGACCACAGAGGAGAAGGGAAAGGAAATTGTAAACATCTTCTAGTAATTAATGCGTACATCTGTTTAATAAGTGATTCAGAAAGACTCCCTATTATGTTGCTACCAGGTTGCCGTTCAGAACTCATGTCCCACAAAAGCCACAGTATATAAAGTTTCAAGAAGGAAATTACTTTTACTCAACACACATTTTACAATTACAATGATTCATTGGTTGTTTTTTCTTAAGGAGTTTTCTTTACGAAACCTATAAAATAACACCAAAACCTAAAAAATGCCAAATTTCCAGAATTTCCTTTGTCAGATGGCTTATCCTTAAATGATGCTTATCAGAGCTGAAGTCTTAAAATAACATTCTGATGCACAGACATATTTGAGCAACAGCTTAGACATACAGGCTTTATTCTTTAAAACCTGTAGAAATACATCGTTTTATAAAGGGGATGTTTAAACACACTTGAGCAGCACTAATAATGAGCACCCGGCTCAAGGTTACATATGGAGTGGTGAGACAACGCTGAAGCCAAGAGACTAAACACAGGCTGGGATTTGTCTCCTTTGAAAAATTCTGCAAATTCCTCACTGTCAGGAAAAGGAAACCAAAAGTATTTCACTACTGAGGGGCTACTGAATGCACCCAGTCAGCAGGCTGTCATATTAGGTTAAAAAAGAACTGGGAAGAATTCCATATCTCCACCTCAGCCATCTGAGCCGACAGCCTGCATTCTCACCTGTGTGTACAGTATGTGCCTCAGAAAGGTCATGGTATACCAGGGTGCTACAAAAGCAAACACTGCTTTGCATACACACTCATGTGCAACCCGGGCAGGGAGGTGTACAGCTTTAAATATAAGCTCACACACAACCAGGTTACACCTTAGTCAGCAGTCATCAGATGGGCAGAGGTATATTTGCAAGTTCCGTTGTTTAAAATAAAGTGTAGCAGATCCAGATTTCACCTGTAATCAATGCTAGAACATTATTTGCCTGAGATATTCTAAAAAACAAAAAAAGAAAGAAATCTGAAATAACTATAGTACGTCTCCTTGGCAGCATGCCCCACACTGTTGCCAGGAGAACTGAAATGCAGACATTTTCAACTTAAACTATAATATTTCAGTGAAACTGAACATTGGCTGAGCATCAATGTTCAGAAAAGTTCTATTTTTATAAACACAGCTAAACATGACAGGTTTATTTAGTCCAATTCCTACATGCTGTAAAAATGTTTCATATACTAAATGAATATTACAGTACATGTCCAATAACAAAACTTTAATGATACAGACTTTTTAAACTTTTAGGGCTTAAACTTTGAACAATAAGTTAAACAAAACCCTTTCAAGGTAACAGCAGTATGAAAACTGTTAATGTAAAATAGACACAGACTTTCAATTTAATCTTTTTAGAGAGAAAAGACCTTCTTTCTATTGCAGACCAAAAACTGCTCTCTTTTAGCAGCTTTCAATTTAATTGGTCTGGTTTTGTAAGCAATTTGCAGCTGGGTGGCATCTAAAAAAAAGCCATTATTGCACCCACTCCTCCTACAACACTGATCGGAACACCGCCGAACAGGAAGCCTGCTGTTATTTCTGGGAGAAACAGTTTTTCTCCCTTTAAATCATTTCTTTACTACATTTGCAAAAAGTATTCTCCTTTATGAATAGACAAAAAGTGTCTATTCATAAAGGTAACCCGCATTACCTAATTTACAGACTTTGCAAAGAGAACAGCCTCAGCGTAACAATAAGGACCCACTGCCACCAAAAGGAAAGTGATTAATTTTATGTGCTTTAGGCCAGAGCTCAGTATTCTACATTGTTACGACACCAAAGACTGTCAAATGAAGCATCGCCTGCAATTTCCTCCCCGCCAGAAAATGTAATGTAGAATGACTTTGGCATTTCACAGGTGAAAAAGCTTTTGAAAATGATAAAGGTATCCTGTCAAAATTCTCTCCCAACCCCAGCATTACACAGATTTAGGACATAATATTAATGTATTTTATGCCACACATACTACTGATATACCTTGCTGTTCTGCACATATATGTTGACTCTCAATGACAGAGCAGAGGTATTACTGCCAAATGACAAAGTGAGACTCTCCAGATGTTTAGTGACCAATGACTCTGCTTCTCAGTGCTGCTAGAATCACAGATGTGAAGCACTCTATTAGAATGTAACAGAGAAAAAACAAAGTACAAAAATAAACAAAGACTCCCAAAATGAATTACTATTGACTAAACTGGACTTTAATTGTAGTTTCAGCTGTTATAACTCCTTACAAAAGGGCACAACAATTCCAAAACTAGAAACTCCCTCTTGACTATCACATGAAGAAAAAATAACAGCTGTTTTTGTTTAATTGCTATGCAGGAATCCTCAAGACTGTATACTAGTTGTTAGTGCCTCATAAAACAATGGAAATAAAGGGATATTTTAATCTTCAGTTTCCTTACAAAGGCTATATATATATATGAACTCTCTCCCAGGTGCTGCATGACCAGCAGGGAAGTCAGATGGTACTGCTGCAGCTGTATGGGCTGTAACCCAGCAGTTTGGAACAGAAGTCTTCAGTATGCCAATGCCAATAGATAAAAACTGTTCAAAAACAGAAGATTCAAGCCCTCCTCTTTATTACATAGTCCACATGTTTCTGATCTGCACTCCATGAATTCAAGATTGAATTGTCATCTGAGGTTAATCATGTATGGGTTTTCAAGTAGGATTTGCATTTTAATTACTTCAATGCATTGCTGATCATTGACACAAAGAAGATTCAGGTTTTGGATCCCTAATTTACTTTGACCAAAGTCAGTAATTCAGTCTTTTTTCTTCAGCATTCTTCAGATAATTTAAAGCACTGTATGACTCTGAAAAGTTTTAAAAACGTGTTGAGTCAACAGAACCCATGAGTTGAATGTCATGTGATGTTGTGTCCCAGGTAATCTTTGACTTTCTTGTTTTTTTTTTTACTACAGGCCAAGAGAGTTTTAATTCCAAAAGCCTGGCCCTGCAGGCTCAGAAGAAGATCTTAAGCAAAATGGCCACCATGGTCGTGGCCAACCTCCTCACTGACGACACTAGCAGTGAGATCCTGGACGAGCTCTACAAAGTCAGCCGGGAGTACACGAAGAACAAAAAGGAGGCTCACAAAATCATGAAGGATGTGATAAAGATTGCCCTGAAGATTGGCATCCTCTACAGGAACAATCAATTCAGCCCAGAGGAGCTGGAAACGGTGGAGAAGTTTAAGAAGAAGATGAACCAGACAGCCATGACTGCGGTCAGCTTCCACGAGGTGGAGTACACGTTCGACAGGAACCTTCTCTCCGAGCTGCTCCTGGAGTGCAAGGACCTTCTGCACGAGCTGGTGGAGCACCACTTAACAGCTAAATCCCATGGTCGCATCGATCACGTGTTCGACCACTTTGCGGATGTAGAATTTCTCTCCGTACTTTACAGCTCCTCTGAAGAATACAGACAATACCTTAAAAAGATTTGTGAAGGAATTAACAAACTACTGGATGAGGGAATTCTTTAACCAGCTCTGTTTCTATAACCCTTCCTGTACTATATGAACTATATATATTTTTTAAGGGATGGATGTTTTTTCATGTGGCTGTTAACTCTTTTTAAGTCTGCTCAGCCCTTGTGTGTAATTGTAAAAAAAATGTTCACTTTAGTGTTTAGCTTGTTTCTTTCTGGAGAGAACCTTACTGTAAATTGTACCCTGAATATCATTTTGCCACTCTTGGCTTTATCTTATGTATCTGTGCCAATGACTTGTATCTGGTTTCCATTCAACACAATTTTAATTTAAGATGAGAAAATCTTTCAGTAAGAATTTGCAGCAGTGTTTTCTTGTCATGGAAAACATTAAGGGAGGCACGGTGCTGCAGTGTTTAGCATCGCTGCCTCACATTGCTGGGGCCATGGGCTCAGTTCTACCCCTGAGGTGTTCTCTCCGAGTTTGCATGAGTTTCCACCAGGTGCTCCTGTTTTCTCCCACAAACCAAATCCATCTCCTAACCTGCATTATCCAGTACAAGGTTGTGGAGAAGCTGGAACCTATACCTGCAAGCAACAGGTACAAGGCAGGATATACCCTGGAAGGGATGTCAGTCCATCACAGGGCAGACACGCTCACATGAGGGCCAATTATGTCCAGAAGCCAATTCACCCATCAGTATGCCGTTGGATTGTGGGAGGAAACTGGAGCACTCGGTGGAAACCCAACTTTGTGAGGAGAACATATAAACTCCACGCAGGCAGCACCCCAGGAATTGAACCCCAGGCCCCAGGATGTGCAGGCAGCAATGCCACCATGCCACCCGCTTTAGGATTTATGCTGTCCTTTTTTCTGAAGAGAGAACAAGCACACTGAAAAAGAAATGTAAGCAGAGTTAAGTACAAAAGCATGCAAACTAGACATGAAACATCAAGGAGAGATTAGGAATAGGTAGCAGGATACGACACAGTCAGGAAATAGATTTGTAGATTTATATATCATTTTTTATTTATCCCTCTATCTTTAGCGTCCGTTATTAAATCTTATACTGTAGATACAGTTGCTATCAGGAATCACTACATTCATTAACAGATGCTGTACTCACAAGAATGCTGGGCTATCAGAGCCTGCTGCAGCCTTTCTTGACCAGATGTTAGCTCTGTTTAGCTAGTGTCAGCACTATCAGAGTATACCAAATATATAGATCAAACATTTGCCAGAACAATCAAAAGACGTTCTGCAGAAAAAGTCCTGTAAGTGTATGGCCATGGTTCTTTCAATACAGTCTTTCATACCAAGGTGTTAATGGCTGTGTGTTTTATTAAAGGCTCCTCTTGAACACGATCATGAAATGTTGTGTTTTTTGTTCAAATTTGCTGTTGATCATAAGGTCAGATAACCTTCCAAAAGAAGACATTCAGAGAGTATTTTTAAGGAGAATGTCTTCCTAGCATTAAGACCATAAAAACTGTCTTAGCAAGTAGAAAGTCTTAAACCCAAATGAAATTAAACTCACCAGCCATTGGCAGATTATATTGGGTTAAAGCAAGGAAAGTCTGCCCTCCATAGGGTTTCTCAAAGTCTGGATTTCATCCATCATATCATGACACCTACTTGTAAGAAGCATCAGCATTTCAGTGAAACCCCTGAAATCTGCTACATAAAAATCTGACATTGAGCTGAGAGGTTGGAATTCCAAAATGAAAGTACTATGTTTTTTTCAGCCGGTGAATTCTGTTTGTTAAGTTCATACTCTTGCTCTCTTTGACTTTTTACAGCCCCAGTTATACTTTCTAAGTCTCATTTAATTGCCACTTCAAACAGCAAAGCCGGTTAAAGGTTGGCAAATGTTTCCTTCCCAGAGGATCAGCCAATTAATTCCTCTAATTAACACAAGGATGCTGTGGGAACTAACCCACCTGTTAGTAAGTGGGTACAGAGAGCCAGCAGATGACGGTTTCTTGATGAGTCACAAGGATTGGCTGGAAATTTCCCAATGCTGTTAAATCCCTGCTTCCTCATAGTGATGATGTAAGGTGCTCTGGAACCAGGAAAAAAAATCCAAAAAGCAGCAGTAATTAAAAAAAACAGGTAATCCATTCCTCACTCCACCTATGCTTTGCAGAGGGGGGTTCATATGGACATACTGGCAATTTCTGACTTGTTAATGCCATTTGTCCCCCAAACATTTTGTCAAGCATACTATATTACTTCATCCTATTCCAGAAAGGATACATGGAAAAAACCCTGATACAATAAACACAGTATGTTACTATGCAAATGATTGGTGATTAAAGGAGTTTTACATACAAGCTAAATGTACTCCTTCTACGAGGTATCAGAATTCACAATTACTACATGCAATAAATAAAAAAACAACAGATGTCTGTAAAAAAGGATTTTAATATGTGCTTCAAATACTGTCTAGTTATTACATCCACCCACACAGATTGCTGGATGTTTCCAATTGATCCTACTTTAGATGTAAATGCAACAATATTTTCCTTGTTCAGTAAATTGTAATATTTTGTTATTGCACACTGAGGACCATTTTTAAATTTCTATTCATCCAAAACGAGAGCTTTTTGCTTACACATGATTAAAAACGTTTAAATTAATTTAGGGAAAAAAAATAAAGTTAGTTTTTAGCTAAGTGTGGAATATTACATGATTTTTATATTGTTTTTGAATTTGTATACTTGGTAATGAAAATATAAATATATGATCAAGTGCATTGCGTCACATTATGATCAATACTGCAGATTTCATTAAAACAGGGAAGGTGGCACAATGGTTAGAATTACTGCCTCACAGCACTGGGCACTGGGTTCAATTACTGGGGAGTTACTTGTGTGGAGTTTGTATGTTATCCCCATGTTTGTGTGGTTTCTCCCACAGTCCAAAAACACATTGTTAATTGGTTAATTGGCTTCTGGAGAAATTGGCCCTGGTCTGTGTGCTTTTGTGGTTGTGCATGACATCCTGTCCAGGGTGTATCCTGCCTTGTGCCTGTTGCTTGCTGGGAAATGCTCCGGCTCCCCCATGACCCTGAATTGGATGAAGTGGTTAGGAAACAGAAGGATGGATAGAAGTTATGAAAAGCAGCACCAAGCCACTCTATAAGGACAATGAATCATGGGTAGAAGGATAGATGGGACCATGCTGAACCTAAGAGTTAATCAGCCATGCAAATTAACCTAAGCTATTTTGTATATATAAACCACCATAACTACTACACTGCTCTCAAACACGTTTGATAAATACAGTCTTGCTCTACTTTGTATATTTCTGCAGAACATCTAAGCACAACAGCTGAGTTGATCACAGAAGGCTTTTTTTCCAAAGCAATTATTTTGACACAGGAGAACGAGCTCCAAGGCCCACCCACACAGAGCAGAGAAAATGAGCCAGTACATCAGTCTGCGGTTTTCGCATGGTTTCAGAGTGGCCACGACTGTTGGCCTTCCAAGCAGGTGAAGGAAAAGATGCATCCTTGTGTGGGAAGGGTAGCTTTTTATTTTTTCCCCTAAGAAGCACAACTGTCACTTTGATTTTGACAGATCCATGGTCACTGTGGAGCTGTGGAGAATAGTGCATTAACTGCTATTACACAATCATGAGTGCAGGGGTGGATTTGCAATGTAACCTAATGCATAGTTTTAATGAAGTGGTTTCCACATTATATCCTGATTAGCAATTTCAGCAAGACACAAAGATCCAAATTTTATTCTCTAACAATACACCACAAAACCCAGTAATTTCAAAATAACTCATTGTCACACCCTGGGGTTGCAACAATCTGGCCTTTCCCCTTAATTCAATTGGTGAAGCAATAACTCAGTTCTTGTCCGAAACTTCTGTGTAGTTGGGCAGCTGCAGCACTACAGGGAGTTCCCCCCTATACATAAAGTGCTTTCGGTTCTTTCGGGAAGAAAACATTAATAACTTACTGCATGTGCTGCATAAATTGTTCTGTTACTCTGCTGCTGTATCTCAGATTCTGATTTTACAATCTTAGATAATTAGCTTTGTTTTTAAATATCAAATGTCAAGAAATACCAGATATGAAAATGCAGCTTCATCATAAGAAGTCAAAAGCACAGAGAACATGGAAGAGGAGACACACATAAAAAGTCCACCCAGCTGGCTCTAACTCATTTGGTTGACAGCAGCTAGTGATCCATGGGTCTCATTTAGCTGTTACTTAAAAGATGCTTGGTACTGGTTCTGGAGCCATGAAATCCTCCTTTTGAAATAATATGAAGGTGTACAACAATGCATTTACTGAAGCAATCTGAGAATGAAGTACCTTACTAAAGTATACAACATCACACCTGGGATTTGAACCCATTACCCTCTGGGTTTGATCATAACACAAGTCACCGATGAAGGGACAGCATTTGTATACATAAACACATCATTTTAAATTCCTCACATCCCACGTAGACCAAACCCGTTTCTTATGTTTATTTTTTTGAAAAAGTGCTTTAGCATGAAAAATAACCCATGTAGAATGCACTAAAAAGCGCCAGGTACAGCCCATATACCTTAACTGTGTGTACAAAACATAATATGACATGACCAATATCATTAAAAGCTGGTGTATCTGTACTACTGGCTTCACCTAAACCCATTATGCTTACATCACATGAAAGACACTCATGACACCCGAGTAATGTTAAGCCCATGGGCGGGCGATGTCTGTACTGTAATTAAGAACTGGTATACATTTTACTGTTGACGTACAGTACACCTACTCATATGTTTAACATGTTTTTAAGAATGTTTTCACAACTCGTGTTCGTCTAGTGTTTTTAAAATTTTATTAAAAGTGTTTGGCGCCCTCTTGTGGTACGTCTTAAAAGCATGCAATCTTCCTGCCATGTTTTTTGCCTAGTTCGGACGTCACAAAAGTCTAGTGCATAAAAACGAAAAATCGACGCTTCATCTGGAGAAAATGTGATTTTATTTCTCCATTTGCAGCATCACTTTCTCTGCTTCTCTCCTAGTTTACATGAAATATAATATATAGGAGGATTTGAATATTACACGTTAAAGGAAACTCACCTGAAACGCGGAAGACGCAATTCAGATATAGAAAATACATTCTCCACAACGTTTGTTTTTTAAGAATGACAGAATGACATGAAATGCATCAGTTATTAAATGAGCCATGTGTACCACAGCAACAAAAATCGATATCCTAGTAAACTAGCAGAAAACTAGTAAACTGTTAAAACATAAGACGTTTGGTTATCTTTATCGGTGTTAAAATACAAATTATTTGATTTTGCAATTTCACCCAAAATGTTAAAAACGTGTTGTTTTAAGCGCTTTAAGTTAAAATCACACATTTAGCAAAGAGTTACAAAATAAAAAGCAAACCGAAAATTGTATGAACTTAAAAATAATTGTGAACAATTGAAATACCAGTTGTTAAAAGTTAACAATAACTAGTTCAGGTGTGTATTAGTAGTCACAAGCAAAGGCCTCAACTATTTCACCAAAATCATGTAGAATGACCAGAGATTAAAATAAGCACAGTTAATAGTAAGTAAAACTAAACATGCATATGGAGGACATTTATTCTTATTATTTACTGTACATATTTAGAGGATTCTTTTACTCTACAAAATATACAAAAGCCTAATACTTAAAAGTGAAATTCAACAAAAATGTGAAGAAAACACTAAAACATGCTGACTCTGCTGAAAGGATGAAACAGGCTTATGAACATAACAAATTA